ATTTATTGACTTACTGAATAAGGTGAATTTCCACCCTGATGTGATCAGCGCCCCCCCCACCCCCCACTTCAAAATTCTACTTTCAGACATGAGCCTCCTGGTCGGGCCTCGGCCACTCTGAATTTGGCCACGTTCTTGACAAGCTGCCGCTTCCATGGTGGTTTTCTGGCCCACCAAGGGCTGTTTCAGCAGTGCGACCCTCTTTTTCAATGCATCCTGTTGTGTAGTTATTTAAGTACTTCATTTTGCCCATGTTGGACAAAAATCAATGAAGAAAATCAAAGTGTTGGTACTTGCAATAGGAAGTAGGCTGGGTAAATATCTCACAAGATGGAAATGATTTGGTCTCTTAAAAGGGGCAGGCCTTTCTCCTCGGCCAGGTGCTTCAGAACTTCTTGGGCTGAGTGTGAAGGAGAAAACACAGACGTGATTGTGGAGATCAGCTGTCTAAGGTCACGGGAGTGGGAGAGAGAACCCCTGCTCTGAAAGAGTGCCAGGGTACCACAAAGACTATGAAACCCTCATGAAGCAGAGCCGGCCCGAGGGCCCCGCCTCACCCCGTGTGTATGTCGGTGTCCAGCTGTGAGCTGTGCCCAGACCCTGCCCTGATGCCTACCAACCAAAACAAGCACAGCGCAGATGGGAGAACACCCCTCCCAGTGACTCCTCAGCCCAGCACTCCTGTCTCCATCCCCACTGACGAGCCAGCACTGCGTCCCGGCGGCATCAGCCACCAGAACCCCTCTTTCCGTCCCTTCTCTTCCCCTTGTCAGCACCCCGTCCCGGGCTCAGGACACCCATCTGCACCTGCGCTGTGCAGGGGCCTCGGAGTCAGTCTCCCCACGTCCCCTCCCGCCGGCACCCTGGCCCGCCTCTGCACTGTGGCCAGGGGCCTACGGCGTCGCCCCGGACTGAGCATCGCCGCTAAGGAAGAGAGAATGCGTTTTCATTGTTGCTCCCACGCTCAGAGCCTGTCTGCAGGAGTCCCGTGAATGCACATGTGTTTCCATCCAGTGCCGCCAGTGTCACAGCTAGGCGTCCCCGTCCCAATATCGAGTAAATATTTACCTGTAGTCTTTGTTCCGATTTCAGTTTTTATATTTAAATCTTGCACTTCGGGTGAGGTAGGAATTCTCACTTTTTCCTTCCTTCTAGATAGTTAGCAGTTGGCACTTTGGCCCAGCATCATTTATTGACTTACTGAATAAGGTGAATTTCCACCCTGATGTGATCAGCGCCCCCCCCACCCCCCACTTCAAAATTCTACTTTCAGACATGAGCCTCCTGGTCGGGCCTCGGCCACTCTGAATTTGGCCACGTTCTTGACAAGCTGCCGCTTCCATGGTGGTTTTCTGGCCCACCAAGGGCTGTTTCAGCAGTGCGACCCTCTTTTTCAATGCATCCTGTTGTGTAGTTATTTAAGTACTTCATTTTGCCCATGTTGGACAAAAATCAATGAAGAAAATCAAAGTGTTGGTACTTGCAATAGGAAGTAGGCTGGGTAAATATCTCACAAGATGGAAATGATTTGGTCTCTTAAAAGGGGCAGGCCTTTCTCCTCGGCCAGGTGCTTCAGAACTTCTTGGGCTGAGTGTGAAGGAGAAAACACAGACGTGATTGTGGAGATCAGCTGTCTAAGGTCACGGGAGTGGGAGAGAGAACCCCTGCTCTGAAAGAGTGCCAGGGTACCACAAAGACTATGAAACCCTCATGAAGCAGAGCCGGCCCGAGGGCCCCGCCTCACCCCGTGTGTATGTCGGTGTCCAGCTGTGAGCTGTGCCCAGACCCTGCCCTGATGCCTACCAACCAAAACAAGCACAGCGCAGATGGGAGAACACCCCTCCCAGTGACTCCTCAGCCCAGCACTCCTGTCTCCATCCCCACTGACGAGCCAGCACTGCGTCCCGGCGGCATCAGCCACCAGAACCCCTCTTTCCGTCCCTTCTCTTCCCCTTGTCAGCACCCCGTCCCCGGCTCAGGACACCCATCTGCACCTGCGCTGTGCAGGGGCCTCGGAGGCAGTCTCCCCACGTCCCCTCCCGCCGGCACCCTGGCCCGCCTCTGCACTGTGGCCAGGGGCCTTGGAGGCAGTCTCCCCACGTCCCTTCCCGCCTGCACCCTGGCCCGACTCTGCACTGTGGCCAGGGGCCTCGGAGGCAGTCTCCCCACATCCCCTCCCGCCTGCACACTGGCCCACCTCTGCACTGTGGCCAGGGGCCTCCAGGAAGGAGAGCCTGAGCACGCCAGCACCCCTCTAACAGAACCCCCCAGTGTTAGCAGGTGGCCACCAGCAGTGTGGTCCAGCCCAGCCTCCATCTCCCTGGGCTGCCTCTGGTCTCCCCCCTCATGCCACCCCTTCCCAACTGGGAACCGCCCTGAGTGAACCCCCTGGTCCCAGGTTGACCCCCCCATCCTTAGGTGGAAGGGGACCCCCTCCTGCTCGCACAGACCAGGTGCCCCATCTCTGTGCTTGTGAGGCTATGTGTATGATGCAGGCCTCCCCCTTCAGCACCTGTCACACCTGATAGTCTGACATGTGTCTGTCGATGAGCATCCGTCTCCCGTCCTGGACCACATCCCGTGTCACTCAGCATCTTCCTGGTGACGGGCCCACCAGGGCGCTCAGTAAACAGCATCCGGTACTGTCCTTGTTGGCCGCTGGGCCCCCTGACCTGACCGACGAGGCTTCATCTAGAACTATTTGTATTTCAAGGTAGATAACATTGGCCCACACTGGTTTGACTTTGTATTTTCATTTATCGGCTCAGCGTGGTCTTTCCCCACGTCTCCAGAGTCACGTGGGCTACAAAGCTTAGAAAGTGAGAAGGTGGTCTGGGCACACTTCCTGCATCGTCCTGGGCCTGTCACGCTGCCAACACGTGTGGTTGCTGCATTTTGATTATTTTTTCTAAAAAGATGGTTCTATATTGATTTGTTTTTATGTATTATTTTAATTTGGAAAGCACGTCAACAACAGTATAGAATTTTGGGAGGAGAGAAAAAATCGATCTCTACTACTGTCTCTGGGTCTTTTATATACCTTTTAACATTGCCACAGTCATAGATAGGTACATAAATTTTGTGTCCTGCTTTTTTCCCTTAAATCACCTTAATGTTGACTGATCGTTATATTTTATATGATGTGGTATATGAGGCTAACTCAGTTCAATAAGCATTTATAGGGATCATTCTCAATGCTGAGAACCGCTAAAGTACACAGACGTGGTACTCTGTATAATAACAGAACACCACAACTCCGAAGCTTTTCATGACATTTTTCCTTCACAGATGTTTTAATTCTGTGACATCACCTCTTCATCCCAGGAAGAAGCCTATGCAAGAGTTTTTTCCTTCATTTATCTAATAGCTTCTTTCTTCACTTACTCAGCAGCTTGATTAGGGCTTATCCCGTGCCAGATGCTAGTCTGTGTGCTGGAGACACAGCTGGGAATCCCCATGCGTGAAGCCAGACAGGAGGGAGTGAACAAATGAATGAGGTGGTCAGTAGAAAAGGCAAACAATTGGGTGAGAGAGAGGGATAGTGGCATGGGGCGGGGGGTGTGGCGCTGCTGTTAGACAAGGTCGGGGCCCGCTCTGGTGGTGACGTCTGGGCAGAGAGGGACTTGGAGCAGGCGGTGAGCTGGCGGAGAGGCTGTTTCTGGCCTGGGGACCAGCAGGTGCGAAGGCCCTGAGCTGAGGACGCTGGCGGTTTTCATAGAAGAGGCAGGAGCGAGTGAGGGGAGGAGGTGAGCAGGAGCTGGGCTCAGTGAGCCCAGGCGGGCTTGGGGGATGAGATGAGATCTGGCAGGGGGTGATCCAGGGAGGGATCCCTGGGGAGATCTTGGGGGAGCCCCGGGGAGATCTGGGGAGGAGGAGTTGCAAGGAAATATGGGGGGAGGTCTGAGGAGATATGGGGGAGCCATGAGAATATATGGGGGAGGCCTGGGGAGATCTAGGGGGAGCCCTGGGGTCATATGGGGGAGCCCCAAGCAGATCTGGGGGGAACCCCCAGCAGATCTAGGGGGAGCCCCGGGGACATCTAGGGGGAGCCCCAAGCAGATCTGGGGGGAGCCCCGGGGAGATCTGGGGGATCCCTGGAGATTGGAGCTCCCCCCAAATATTCTCAGCTCCACCATACCTCCTCGGAGCTCCCCCCACATCTCCCTTTGGGCTCCCCCCCCAGGTTTCCTTGTGACTCCCGCCCCAGATCTCCCTTGTGCTCCCCCCAGATCTCCTTGGGGCTCTCCCCTAGATCTCCCCAGGGCTCTGCAGGGGAACCCTGAGGACATCTGGGGGGGCCCTGGGGAGACCTGGGGGTGATCTCCCAGGCTGTGGTCAGGCCTCTGGCTATCCCCAGGTGAGGTGGGAGGCGGCGCATAGTGACTTGCTGTATCCCACGCTCTGACAAGGTGGCTCTGCTCCAGCGTCCCCATCCTGCTGGGAAGCGCCTTCAGCTTCCGTCTCCCCCGTCACCCTCTGGAAGGGTTACTTCGTGCTCAGACACAGGTTTGTAAGCTTGGTATGAGGTGTGTATGTGAGCAGGTGCACAAGGAGCCACACCCCACAATGTCCCAGCTACGCTGGGGTAACCCTGCTCCAAGAAGTTAGGCGTGTTCCGTGTATCTGATGAGCTCTGTGACTCTGAATTTCTCATTTCGTTTTCTTTTGCTCCTCTGACAGAATTTTTTCTGTCTAAAATAAAGGCCACATATATTCTTCAAATTGTGTAAAAATGTACCCTAGTAGGACTTCTTGTCAGTCTATAATCATAAAGCATGATCACCTTCTGAAGTTTTAGAATCAAGCCTTTTTTGGTGATGGCGGTGGTAGAAGTTAGCCTGCTTATAATCTTCCTTGTATTGCTTTATGGTCAGATCTGCCACATGCCTGCGAAAGTGAGGGCCCATGAGTCGTCTCCAGAAGCTTCTTCCTGAAAGAACAGACCATTGTCACCCGTTCCTCGGGGTGACTAATCCCTTTTTTTTTTTTTTCTGACACAGGAGGAACCCTCACAGCTTCCCCAGATCAGGAGGGAAAATATGGAATGTGTTTTACCGCTGACTGAACACAACCCAATGAACTGTCCTGACAGTAGTGTGAAAACCAGCAGTTAGCAGTTTGTGCGGCCCCAACATCACCCGGCACTTTCCAGAGCAGACTCACTGTTCACAGGACCTCTCAGCCTCAGGCCCTGTAGGACCTCACGCTCGGCCAGTTTCAGAGATTTCCGCACAAGAAAAGCACCCGGCACCCCGCGTCCACAATGGCGATGGACGAGTACCTGTGGATGGTCATCTTGGGTTTTATCATAGCTTTTATCTTGGCGTTTTCTGTGGGTGCCAATGATGTTGCCAATTCGTTTGGTACTGCCGTGGGCTCGGGCGTGGTGACCTTGAGGCAGGCCTGTATCCTGGCTTCCATCTTTGAAACCACCGGCTCGGTGTTGCTGGGGGCCAAAGTCGGAGAGACCATCCGGAAGGGCATCATTGACGTGAACCTGTACAACGACACCGTGGAGACGCTGATGGCCGGGGAGGTCAGTGCCATGGTCGGTAAGTAGCCTCGTCTTCCCGCCCGTGGGAATGTGTCCACTGACCCACTTCTCCACCCGACTTCTGTCATACCCATAAGTGAGACTTTTGCTTTAACCTTTCAAAAGCTGGTTTGATTAGTTTTTTTTTTTAAAATAGGAGTATAGCTGATATACAGTGTTGTGTTATTTTCAGGTGTATAACAAAGTAATTCAGATATATGTGTATGTAATATACATGTATGTGTATATATGTATATGTATATTTTTCAGATTTGTTTCTCATTTATTATATCTTATTTGTGTGTTCTGTATATTATGATTTTGGTCAGTGTTCAAATGTCAAGCAATCACTTCTTTCTTGAATGTATTCAAATAGATTTTGGCTAAGTCAGTGCTTTTCAAAAAGTCCAGAAAAAAAGATATTTATAGCATAGCTCTTTGTCATTTTAAAGCTATTTGAAAGTTCTTAAAGAAAGAACACATTAAAGTGAATATGTTTCAGAGGTTTACTTAGGTTTATTTATAAACCTTGAAGATTTATTTCTGTTTTTTCATATATTTTTCCTTAGTTCCAAGGTGATGTTTTATCATAAAACATGGATGCCAAGAAACAGTATTTATTAGCTTAACTTTTGTATTCTCAATTTAAGTTTTAGAGCAGTTACCAAATGAGTCTTAAGTGCCTATGTTTCAAGAAACATTGGTCTTCTCTGTCACTTGTCATCCTTTTGTTGGTTTTTGTTCGGATTTTCTGATTCCACCCCTGGGAGCTCCATCTGGTACGCTTGTTTTGTTTTCTGGCTGGAAGACCATTTATACGTCACCTGTTTGCAGTAGGACCTCTTATGGGCAGCGTCAGGGTGCCTGGATGAGAGAGGGGGGTGGAGGGCAGTGAGCTGCACTGGAAGAGGATCGCTGACTGGATGTGTGGTTCCTTCTCTGCCCGCACTGATCTGAGACCTGTAGCAGCATGGGTGCTCCCTCACCAAGCTGAGAGGTTCAGGCAGCAGGGCCTTAGGTGCAGCCGACAAGACCCTCCTCCGCTTGCCTGTCGGTCCAGGTGATGCACAGCAGTGGCGGTTCTGCATGGGCAAGAGGTGAGGGGTGAGAGGGATGTCCTGCCACCTTCCGTTTGCAGCAGGGCACATGCTCTTGTGGGGAGAGCCATGCCTTGGGAGGCCGGATGCTGGTGGACCGAGAACACGGCTCCATCCCACAGGTCCCAAGATTAGTCACCACCAGCACTTCTGTAGCACTGAGGATGTGCAGGTCATTTGCCAGGCTTAGGATGGCCCATCATCTTTTTTGTGACAGCAGGTTAGTCTGAGAAGTAGTTGAGGTCTTTGATTAGAAGCAGACGGAGGTCCTGAGTAAGGAATTAAATACTACTAAGTGACTCAGCAGTGGCCACAAGACTGGAAAAGGTCAGTTTTCATTCCAATCGCAAAGAAAGGCAATGCCAAAGAATGCTCAAACTACCGCACAATTGATCATAGGTGCTCAGAATTCCTCTTCCTCAGCTGCTCATTTTGTGTTTGAAAGATGTAAGGCTCACAATGGATATAACTGATCATTATTTTTTTAAGAATTAAATATTTACTATCAGTACACAGACTTTGGGCTCAGAGGAGGCCAAGGTGCAGCTTTTTTTGGTTGTCCTGAATCCCGGTTTGTCCGACATCAGCCACCCCCACCTTGCCGCCTAAGTTCAATGACCCCAATGAGATCACAGTTGTGTACCTGACATGCCCCGGTGGGGAAGTAGGTCCCTTGTCTGCCCTGGCCCCCAAGCTCAGCCCCCTGGGTCTGTCTCTAAAAAAGGATTGGTGATGGCATGGTCAAGGCAACCGGTGATTGGAAGGGTGTGAGGATGACAAAGTGACCATGTAGCACAGACAGGCCCACGTTGAGGTGGCACCTTTTGCCTCTGCCATGATCATCAGAGCCCTCAAACAGTTGCCAAAAGACAGAAAGAGGCAGGGAAACATAAGCAGAGTGGAAACACCACTTTTGATGAGACTGTCAATGTTGCCCAACAGATGCAGCAGTGGTCTTGGCTGGAGAAGTCTCTGCAACAATTAAAGAGATCTTGGGGACCACCCAGTCTGTGGGCTGCAGTGTTGACAGCCGCCACCCCCACCACCTCATAGGTGACATCAACAGTGGTGTGATGGAGTGCCCAGCTAGTTAAGAATGTCTAAGGAAAATAATTTAATAGAGGGTTGTTTGACAAAGAAAATCATTTACCATAACAGTAATCATAATGATTGAATTTTATTCACCTTCATTGAATATATGCTTCTCATCATAGTCAGGTATAATTGACATTTCCCTTAGAAAAATAACAGTTACTTGTAAAAATCACCCTCAGTAGTGGTGATCAATATGTAAGACATAATCATATCAATCAGACCACACCACCTTACCTGCCTCTGGAGAAATCTGTATGCAGGTCAAAAAGCAACAGTTAGAATCGGACATGGAACAACAGACTGGTTCCAAATAGGAAAGGAGTCCATCAAGGCTGTATATTGTCACCTTGCTTATTTAACTTATATGCAGAGTACATCATGAGAAATGCTGGGCTGGAGGAAGCACAAGCTGGAATCAAGATTGCTGGGAGAGCTATCAATAACCTCAGATATGCAGATGACACCACCCTTATGGCAGAAAGAGAAGAAGAACTAAAGAGCCTATTGATGAAAGTGAAAGAGGAGAA